TTTCAACTAGGCTTGGCACAGTACTAGGCCCAGTAAATACAATTTTTTAAAAGTATTTCTAACCTGTTAAAATAATTACAATTTTTTTCTTATTAATACTTAGAACTTTAGTAAAGATTAGATTTTTGAAAAATCTTTGTGTTAACTTAATTAAGGGAGAAGGCCCCGCCTTCTCCTGACCTACAGCTAAATAATAGCAACCAAAGTTTTCAGAAGTGGCCATCATGTTTCTGAAGGTCATGTATCTCTGAAATACAAAATACTGTCTTAGAATTACCAAATTAATCTTATGGTTCAGAATTATTTCATTAAGAAATATAATACTATAAGACTGTCGAAATTACCCATCTGCTTGCCCACCAGGCAATCTTGGGTTTTAGACAGACTCTATCTCAAAGCATTCAAATTGAAAACCAGTTTCAACAGATGTTTTGTGCAATGTGTAGCAACTATTTCCATATTTTCCACATGGCAAAACAAGCTGCCTTATGACCTCAATTTGCATTCGCCTTTGCATAATCTTTGTGTGTTTGGAGTTGGGCCTGCAGATGTCTCTAGAACATTTAGTCTTCATATAGAAGCAAAACAATGGCCACTGTGTCCCCTGCTGTTGCCACCTGTGATGTAGGATGGGACCAGGTGTCTTGGATACATTGCCTTTGCAGGAAGCTGAAATAAAGCAACTTTCTAAATGACTGTGCAATAAGGCTTTCAGGCAAAGGCCCCACCATTAATTGACTCTTGAAAATGAAAACCATAACTTTATTAGAGCTGTAATAATGTTAGCTAGCAATGATGGCTGACATTTATAGAATATAGACTTTAATAACATAATTTATATATTCCTGAAAAAAACCTCATGTTCTGCAAAATTGTGTATTAAAAATATTGGGGTTCATTAAAAATCACAGACTAAGAGAAACTGTTCAGTATATATCTGTCAAAGGACTTATATCCAGTAATAAAAGGACAAACAACCTATTTTAAAATGGGCAAAACACTTAGAGGCTTCAAAAAGAAGATGTACAATGGCCAATCGGCACAAGAGAAAGTGTTCAACATCATTAGTCATCTGAAGAATGCAAATTAAAATCACAATGAAATACCCAGTAGAGTGGCTAAAATGAAAAAGACTGGCACTACCAAACACTGAAGATGCGGAACATCTGGAACTCCCACACATGCTGGTTGGGAGAGTGAAATGCTACAAACACTACGGAAAACTGACAGTTGCTTAAAAAGGTAGAACCACAAATACTCTATGACCTAACGATTCTACTCCTAATTATTCTAGGTGAAATAAAAACACATGTCCACAAAGACCTGTTACGTAGATGTTCTAGCAGCTTTATCCATTACAACCCCAAACTGCAAATACTTAATATATCCAAAAATAGGAAAAGTCAATCAAATTTGGAATGCTCATACGAACACATGCAACTCAACAATAAAAATATATTCCTGATAAACACAACATAGATGAATCTCAAAAATATTATGCTGAGGAAAAGAAGAGAAACACACAAAGAAGTACGTCCAGTATAACTCAATTCTAGAGTAGGCTAAACTAACCTGTCAGATCAGTGGTTGCTCCTTCTGGTGGTGGAGGTGGGGAAGAGGCATTGCCAGGGAAGTGGCACAAGGAAAGTCTCTGGGGTGATAGAAGCTCTGTGTTTGGATGTGCATTTATCTAACTGGTTGAATACACTCAAGATCTGAACATTTTATGATATGTTAAGTAAACATGAATAAAAAAGAATGAAAAATTTTAAGAACAGAAATACCACAGGGTTTATGAGATAAATAGGGTTAGGAAGAAACCGCTAAAAAAATATAGGCAACATTATAACCAGAGTACTAACCCACAATTATTAAATTATTAGTGCCTAGGAAGATAACATAGATAACTCAGACATGATCTTAAAATGCCTTACAGGATATCAGAAATACACAAAGACAGTAGAGTGGAAATGCCAGTGATTCTTAGCTTTCACTGGAACAGTGCTCATGGGGTGCAAAGAAAACACAGATGGAAGCAGACCTCAGAGGCAGAGAGGTTGCGAAAGTGCACGCAGAAGGGAGTCTGATCTGCCAGAGTTGAGGGCTCTGTAAGGCTGGGGTTGATCATCTCGTGGGAGGGAGGCCCAGGTGCAGACACTTGTTTTTAATTTTCTCAAAATAAAGCTGAGAGGGCTCCTGCCTGATCAGCAGCCAAGCTAAGGGCTTTTTCCTTTCCTGCTGAAGATGAGAATTCTATTCCTACCAGTCCAAATCCTATTCCCAAGAAAATCATGAATGAAACAATGTAACTTCCATATTACACTACCATGTCATTCCCCATTTACCAATCACAAATGTGGTGATTCATGTCACAGACACGTGCTCTAGCAGAGCACGTATACCAACTGTGACCAAACACTACCTACCATTTTGCGTTTGTTATGTTATTTATAATTTACAACAACTGCATTTAACAGAAAAAGATACTGAAGCTCAGAGAGGCAAAGTGGTTTCCCCAACTATATGCAGCTACTCTTTTGCAGACTTTGAATACAGGTTTAACTTGAAATCCCATGCTCTTAATCATTATACTACATTTCCTGGATAATTTCATCCATACCTGCATTTTTCATTTGGGAAAACACTTGGGTCCTCAGCTCACTGGAGCTGTTCAGCAAGCTGCATTTGGCTTTGGTTTTCTCCTTGGCACTCATCCCAACACCGTCTATCTTTAAGTGCCTCAATCACCTGGATCCCCTCGTCTTTGGCTCATTTCCCTCTTGTTTACTGACTACTGAGGACAGTGGCTCTCATTTGCATCCATCCTCAAAGCCCTAAGGCTCTTTCCTCTCCCATACGTCATGCCCTCCACGCTAAGAATAGCAAGCTAGCAGAGTGTTCGGCGAGATCGTCTAAGTGAAAAGTCTTCTCTAAACTATGAAGTTCATATGCAGTTACTATATTGATATAAGGAATTATAATATACAGGAGTGTCTCAGGATCTTTCCCCAAGGAAATATTTATGGTTCCTAAAGGCAATTCCCCCACTGTCTATTAAATGACTGACTCAATGAAGATTTCATGTTAGATAGGGACAAGAGATAGTGAATAGTAAGGGAATGATAGTTTAGAAAAATTAGTCTATGATTTCTGTACATGAGATCATCCCAGTATGTTATATGCATATACTAGATCCAAGAAACTTTTAAAATTTCCTTTCTAAAGCAAACACTCATTATCATTCAGTATTGCCTATGTTAACAAGATGCTTAGATATAAACAAAGAAGCAGAAGAAAGAAAATATGTAAGTAACCACCCAAGGAATTTAATAGTTCTAATGGCACATTTCATGAAAGCATGCGCACTAATTATCTCTTAAATCAGTCCAGTCCCAGTGGCCCTGGAAAACTTGAACAAGATTATTTATTCAACACAAAGTTTAGGATTTCTAACCGAATAACACAAATTCCTAGTTCCAGTCTGTCAATACTGAGCACATTGATCTAAACATTTGGACAAACCAACTGCATCCCCACACAATTTACTGATGAATCTTCTTAGATGGATCAGAAAGCAATTGCCTTCAACACTTCATGAATTTATTAAACTAGCCAGAGAGTTTCAGAAAAGCTAAATAGACTTAAATATTTTTGTTTTCTGACTCAGAATTCAAACGTCTGACTCAGAATTCAAACAGCATGGGCGGCAGTGGTCATGGTGGGCTGTGCGTGGATGTGTTTGTGTGATAACTGTCCTACCTCGTTGACATTGTTCACAGCCTATCTGGAATATCTGCTGTATAGAACATTTTGAAAATATGTGCTATGTAGATTTCCTTCTTCTCCCAAAGATTGACTATTAAGGGCATGGGTAGAAAGATCTTCAAAAGCAAATGGTCTTCTGAGCAAAATCCTGATATGTATGCCTTCTTTGGGCGGCAAAAGACACAAACAAGTCAGGGATTTCATAAATCCGGGCAGGTTATGAGCAACTCAAGATAAAAAGGAAGTGTCCAACCCTACTGTATCCAGGCAGGAAAAAAATAGATGCATTCAACCCAAGACAGCTTTCATATTCTGCTTTTAATAATATTTAAATCAATTATCCCCTGAGGATAAACTGGGAAGACAATAATAGCAAGTTCATAATATCAAGAATGTATACTTTGGAATAAGTTACAAAAGTTGACTATTCCAAGAAAGTACTATAAGGAAATCATGGGAAGAAAAAAGGAACATAAATTCTTAGTAGTTTATAAAACTGGAGTATAATATTGATTTAATCAACAAATGAATATAACTGGAGCAAAAGATTAGTCCTCTGAGCACAGTGTCTAAAGCAGACACACCTTAAGCCAAATCTGGAATGCCTTATGATTCATGTCTCAACGTGAACAGTTCTAATCACGAGGGAACCTTCTCCAGTGTTCTCTGAGCAATAGTAAAATAACACATAGACTATGTAACTTAAAGCATGCCTTACATTGCCTAACAGAGTGAATCAAACTAAACTAATATGTAGAATTATTGAAAACTGGAAAGTTCATAAGGATTTAAAAATAATAATAAAATGTTGACTAACCATTGCTAATTTGAAACTAGACAATTCCTTAAACTCTTAAGTAGCTTTCTCAAATAACAGTAGAAAGGGTACAATAAATCCCAAACACAAGCCTGAAAATTTTCATCTCTAGGTTATCTCAAGCTTATATTTAGTTGTTTATTCCTCCAACCAACTTTCTAAAAAAAGAACATTTACACTGATAGAATAAGAAGCTAGCTTAACAAAAGCTGTTGTCTGATAAATGGCTAAACTAAGTTTTATTTTTACCACACTATGTTTCTAGAATAAAACTGGTTTACAAATAGTGACATCTGTAATTTGACAATTGTCTTTTCACATAAATCCTTTTTAAATGCTTACACTCTTTTAAGCAATACAGAAAAATGACAAAGATTCCTATTTTTGGATGCAAAATGTGTATAAAATGCATTAAAATTCAAAAAGGATTTTTACACATATTTAATATTTTGATACATATCAAACTTATAATTATTTTGCCCAATCCCCTAAAATTACCACTGACAAGAAAATAGAGAGAGACAGGGCCTTTTCTACCATATGAAGGGTAAAAACTAGCTAATAAAATCAGGGTAGAATATGTAAACAGTTTGCAAGTTCAAATATCTCATGCATACAAGATTTTTCTTCTTGTTTATTTTTAAAGATATTGAGAAGTTTTATTTCAGTTTAAAAGAAAAAGCAGTCACAGACAAATCCAGCTTGTTTTAAACCACCAAAAATGAAAGCTAATGGTTAAATCCAGGCACCTAGCCACTAAGCAAACCTCTCTGAAAGCCCCACTGCCTTCTCAAACCATTTCATTGCCATAAATTCAGTAATAATGCCTCAGCTGTAATCTGGAAAAATGGCCATGGTCTTTTGCCCCACCTCAGGGTGAACTGACCTGGGGCATAAGTGAATATTTGCTACTCACTTTTCAGTTTTCTTGTCTTCTGCTCAAGGGTCTGGCAAGCTTTCGATAACTCAGTATTTATAGTTTGCAGGTTCCATTGTTCCGAAATTGCTTCCTCTAATTTCTGCAGTAGAGACGCAGCTTTTTCCCTGGCAGAGTGGGCTGCCTGATGTCGATCCTTAACCTGGATATGGATAGTTAATACTGGATTTTAGCAGTGTGGCCAGGAAAGCAAGCATTTGAGAGCTCTCACTCTGATTATGCACACAAAGCTGGAAATGTGCTTTTCTTCTCAGGGAAGTGATAAGCCTCTCCTGAACTTCTGCAATTCTGTGTTTGCACGGGCTTGGTGAGCCTGAGCTATTTCTACAGCGGCGAAGTCCTGATATGTCAAGTTGCCTCCTTCTGTAGAGTTGCCTGTTTCATCAGCAGCTGTTGACACCGCCTCTCTTACACTCCCCCTGTACTTCCTCCGCACGCTGCTAGTCGCTAGGGACTGAACTTCACAGTTCCTCTTTGTTTTTCTGTTGTTGTTCCTCCTCCATTTTTATTTCATGGTTTCAAGAACGTCTGAGGAGACTTGCCCTGAATCTAATGTAGTCAAGGGCCACCCTACCTGTTCCTCTGCATCTGCCAGCCGTTGGCTGGCTTCCTGGAGCCTCTTCCTGAGGATGGCTTCCTGGTTGACAGCATCTTCTTGCAGTTGTTTAATGGCTTCTAGTTGTTTCCGACTAGAGTCAAAAAAATGAAAGAAAGCAAGCAAAAAGTCCAAACCACAAGCTGTCAGTGACATTTCATCTAAGAGTCACCCTGGGAAATTGTGACAAATTCAAACTTAACATACTTCCTCAGAGATGAGAGGAAAAAGTGAAAGTATTTATGTACATATAAATGCTTCACAAATACAAAATCTTAAGGAAAGCAATCATATGGATCACTTAGCCTGATACCCCTACTTTACAGACAAGGACATTTAGTTTCCTATTTTCCACTGGTATTAAATATATTCAGTTCCCCACAAGCTACATTCACAGTACTTAGCATTGGTTGCACAGTTGCTGGGATGATGGCTCTACAAGGAGGTCAGGGTGACAGGTGCAATACTTACACGTCATAGCTAGCTTTTGCAGAAAAAGAAAGGAAGGAAAGAAAAAAGGGGGAGGGAAAAAAGAGAAAAAAGAAAAGAGAGTTTTGTCTCATGACCTTAGCCTTTCTCATTAAAGGGTTGTCAATCATGGTATAAGTATGTGCCATGAGCGCAGGAAGGACCACACAGATGAAAGCTGGCTGTTGAGATTTCCACTGAAATCCTCTCTTTAAGTCCTTCCCCTCCCCCTATTCCCCTGCACAAATCTCACAGTGTCATTATGTTACTCCTCATTTGTATTCAACACTAATCTCCAAAATATATAAAAATGCATTTGTTCTCTGTTAGCTGATGAGATTATTTACTCTGTGCTACATGTCAACATATCAGTGATTAGCTGGAAACAATTTGACGTAAATAAAAGGGAATGGTAAACTTTCAAAGCAGTGAGGAAGATGTAGGCCTTTTGCTTGCCTCTCAAATGTTAACCTGTGATCAGAATCTCATGCACACTGGTGTAAATCCAGCCCTGGTTACAAGAAGGACCACAAGAGAGGCAAGAATGGTCTCATAGAATGCTTTACGAACTGGTAAACAAGCAAACAAAATCCTAAACAAAAATAAAAACTACCTAAATCACCACAGACAATCTACTGAGCATTCGTCAATAGCTTATAGTCAGTTGTTTCTTATTTGGGTTTTTTCCTAACTGTGGCAGAACATTTAACAGGAGATCTACCTCTTAACTAATTTTTACGCGTACAATATTAATTATAGGCATAATGTTGTACAGATCACTAGAACTTACGCATCTTGTACAACTGAAACTTTATACCCATTAAATAGCAACTCTTCATTTCCCCTTCCCCCTAGCCCCTGGAAACTTCCATTCTGCTCTCTACTCTATGAGTTTAACTATTTTAGGTACCTCACGTAAGTGGGATCATGTGGTATTTTTCCTTCTGTGACTGTCTTATTTCACTTGCCATAATGTCCTCCAGGTTCATCCATGTTGTCACACGTAGCAGAATTTCCTTCTTTTTTAAGGCTGAATAAAATTCCATTGTATGTATATACTACATTTTCTTTATCTATTCATCTGTGAACATTTAGGTTGTTTCCAAAACTTGGCTATTGTGAATAATGCTGCAATAAATACGTAAATGTAAATATCTCTTCCAGATCCTGACTTCAATTATTTTGGACAAATACCCAGAAATAGGATTGCTAGATCATATGGTAGTTCAATTTTTAATATTTTGAGGAAATTCCTTAACGTTTTTACATAGTGCCTGCACCATTTCATATTCCCACCAATGGTGTACAAGGGTTCCCATGTCTCCACATCCTCACCGATATTTATTATCTTTTTTTTCCTATTTTTTGTAATAGCCATCCTAACAGGTATGAGACAATATCTAATTGTGGTTTTAATTTGCATTTCTCTGATTAGCGATGTTGAGCATCTTTCCCTATACCTGTTGGACATTTATACATCTTTTGAAAAATGTTTATTCAAGTCCTTTACCCATTTTAAAACTGGGTTATGTGGTTTTTTGTTATTGAGTTGTAGGAGTTCCTTCTTCTTATATATATATTAACCCCTTATCAAATATATAGTTTACAAATATTTTCTCCCATTTTGTAGGTTGCCTTTTCACTCTGTTAATTATGTCCTTTGCTATGCAGATTTATGTCCGTCTTTATGCCAGTAACATACTGATGTAATAACTGTAGCTTCGTAATATATTTTCAAATCCAGAAGTGTAATGCCACCATCTTTGTTCATCTTTCTCAAGATTGTTTGTGTCTATTCAGAGTCCTTTGTGATTCCAAAGGAACTTTAGCATTGTTTTTTCTATTTCTGTAAAAAACGTTATTGGGATCTCATCAAATCTGTGGATCGCTTTCGGTAGTATGGACATTTTAACAATTTTAAGTCTTCAAATCCATGAATACAGAAATGTCTTTTCCTTTATTTGTGTCTTCTTTAATTTTACTCATCAATGTTTTATAGTTTTCAGTATATGTCTTTCACCTTTTTAAATTTATTACTAAGTATTTTTTTCTTTTTGATGCTATTTTAAATGAGATTGTTAATTTCTTTTTCAGATAGTTCATCATTACCACACAAAAACAAAACTGATTTTTGTATTTTGATTTTATATCCTGTAACTGTACTGAATTTGTTTGTTACAGTAGATTTTTTATGGAATCATTAGGATTTTCCACAAAAAAGATCATATCTGCAAACAGAAATAATTTTACATCTTCCTTTTCAATTTGTGTACTTTTTTTCCTCCTTGCCTAAATGCTCTGGCTAGGCCTTCCAGTACTATGTTGGAGACAAGTGGCAAGAGTAGGCATTCTTGCCTTGTCCCTGATCTTTTTTTTTTTTTTTTTTGAGACAGAGTCTCACTCTTTTGCCCGGGCTAGAGTGAGTACCATGGCGTCAGCCTAGCTCACAGCAACCTCAAACTCCTGGGCTCAAGCAATCCTTCTGCCTCAGCCTCCCCAGTAGCTGGGACTACAGGCATGCGCCACCATGCCCGGCTAATTTTTTCTATATATTTTCAGTTGTCCGATTAATTTCTTTCTATTTTTAGTAGAGACAGGGTCTCGCTCTTGCTCAGGCTGGTCTCGAACTCCTGAGCTCAAACAATCTGCCTGCCTCGGCCTCCCAGAGTGCTAGGATTACAGGCGTGAGCCACCGCGCCTGGCCTGCCTTGTCCCTGATCTTAAAAGAAAAGCTTTATGTTTTTCACCATTAAGATGTTAGCTGTGGGCTTTTCATATAAGACTTATGATGAGGTAGTTTCCTTTGATTCCTAGTTTGTTGATAGTTTTCACATAAAAGACTTGAATTTTGTCAGTGCTTTTTTTTGCCTTTATAGAGATGATTATGCAATATTTACCCTTCATTTTGTTAATGTGGTAGATCACATTAATTGATTTGCATATGTTGAATCATTCTTGCACCCCAGGGATAAATATCACTTGGTCATAGTGTGTGAATCTTTTAATGTGCTGTTGAATTTAGGTGGTTTATAGTTTCTTAAAGATTTTTGTATCTATATTCATCAAAGATATTGTCCTAGAGCTTTGTTTTCTTGTAGTGTCTTTGCTTGGCTTTGGTATCAGGGTAATATTGGTCTCATAAAATGAGTTTGGAACTGTTTCCTTCTTTTCACATTTTTTGAAGACTTTCAGAAGGATTAGCATTAATCTTCTTCAAATCTTTGGTAGAATTCACCAGTATAGTCATCTCATCCTGGGATTTTCTTTGTTGGGAGGTGTTCAATTGCTGACTTAACACATTGGCTGCCACACTAGAAAAAACAATTTTTCCCTGTGGCCATGGTGTTTTATTATGAAAATAGAATAAAAACTTCAAAAACAAAATGATCCTTTCTAATTTAATAAAAATGAAATTTATTGACTTCTACTCATTTAATCCACATTTTAGAATTTGTCAATATTAATTGTAACAATAAAAACACCAACAAGTAAGATTTTCACAAACCAGCTACAGGGTTTTGCCCAAGTTTTACTTCACGAAGCCCTGAATTCAAAACTAGCATGAGTAGAATGCAAGTCACATGGCAGTCAATGTGTTAAATGCCTTACTAGTTATAGGTTTGTTTACATTTTCTATTTCTTCATGATCCAGCCTTGGTAGGGTGTTTGTTTCTAGGAATTTATCCATTTCTTCTAGGTTATCTAATTTCTTAGCATATAATTATTTATAGTAGTCTTTTATGGTCCTTCATATAATATTTTTGCAGGTTTAGTTGTAATATCTTTCCTTTCCTTTTTGATTTTGAGTCCTCTTTTCTTAGCCTAGTTAAAGCTTTGTCCATTTTGTTTATCTTTTCAGAAAACAACTCAGTTTTGTTGCTTTTTCTATTATTTTTCTATTCCTTTTTAAAATTTTTGCTCTATTTTTTATTATTTCCTCCTTCTGTTAATTTTGGACTTAAGTTGTTCTTTTTCTAGTTCTTTGACATGTTATTAGGTTATTTGAGTTCTTTTTTAATGTATTAATCACTGTAAAATTCTCTTAGTACTGCTTTGGCTGCATCTCATAGGTTTTGGCATGTTTTTGTTTCCATTTGTCTCAAGATATTTTTAATTTTCCTTTTGATTTCTTCATTAATCCATTTGTTGTTCAGGAGTGTGTTGTTTAATTTCCACACATTTGTGAATTTTTCAGTTTTCATTCTAGATTTCTAGTTTCATTCCATTGTGGTAGGAAAAAGATAATTGGTATGCCTTCCAACTTCTTAAATTTGCTAATACTTGTTTTGTGACCTAACATGGGATCTGAAGGATCACATCCCACATGCATGTGAGAAGGGTGTATAGTCTGCTGTGGAATGTCCTGTATATAACTGTGAGGTCCATTTGGCTTCTAGTGTTATTAAAATTTGCTATTTCTTTATTTTCTGTCTAGATGTTCCATCCATTATTGAAACTTAAATACTGAAGACTCCTACTCTCTTGCTGTCTATTTCTTCTCCCTTCAGTTCTGTCAGTGTTAGCTTTATATATCTAGGTGCTCTGATGTTGGGTGCATAGATATTTATAATTGTTACACCTTTGTGGTAAAATGACCTTTTTATCATTATATAATGTTCTTCTTTG